AATCGCCTAACGGAAATGCTTTGGAAAACGCTAACGCTTACGATTTTATTTTGTTATTTCTAGCCGCCTGAGGTATTCAAATGCCTCGCGCTCTTTCTTTTTCTTTTGCATTGGTAATAACAATATTAAAAAAAATGAGCGTGAGGTATTCGAAAACCTCAGGCGGCTAGAAATAACAATTTCAAATCGTAAGCGTTAGCGTTTCCCAAAGCATTTCCGTTAGGCGATTGGCCCCCTGATCAGACAAATAAAATCACCATGCAATATTGCGTAATACAAAATCAATCGATAATGAGTATTACAAAAAGGTAATTAATTAAATTTATCAGCGATGCACCAAACAGCGATTGACGTAGCTCCTAGCCCAATCAGAATTTTTATTTCACTGGTCAGGCTTTAATTAATATAACCTACTTTGTTTCAAAATTGTACAGTTTAAGGCCCGTATTACAGAATGACAACTAAGTGTTGATCTTTACTTGAGTACAGTTAGAAAGGGATGCCGCTATGTGCTATATATAGCGACATCCCTTTCTAACTATGCTCAAACCTAGATCAATCACTGAGAATCTTTCTATAATACGGGCCTAAGAGATCTATAAAGTTAACAATAGAAAATAACATAACAGATCTTAATTACAATAAATTAAAATAGAGATTAGTTTAAATATTCCTTTGTTAGCTTCCCACCGCTTTCAAAACACGAGCACATTGAACCCATGTAGGTAACCTACACCGTGCTTTGTTTGTTTTAATTTAGTGCCCAGTTGTTCAGATACGAGAAAAATATATAATTATTGGGAAGATAAAATAATAATACTATACCCAAAAATGATACAATATCGTATTCCTTAGAAGTATCCTTTGTACGTCGAAAAGCAAACACTGGTTTTCAAAATTCGAAAAGCTTTGGCAATTAATAAAAATAAAACGGAAAGGATATTTTTTCTTCCAAACATAACCCAACAGACATAAAAGAATTCGCGTAACCCTAAGCTAAAATTTTTGAAAAAGACAAGCCGTTATTCTGTTGTTTCGTTTAAAACACATTTTTTTTGGTCAATTTGTCACTGTTGGTACGGGCCAAGGATTCTGAGTCCATACAGCCCTGTCTGTAAAATACTTTTTTTTAGCTTTTCTGTGACGGCGCCAACTATCAAGACTTTTGCCAAGGCTATCCAGTGTTCGCTAGTCGACTCCCATAATATCACTGTAGTTGCTTCGCACCGTATTTTGACGTATACCGTTTGTCTCCCCCACTAGCTTATGGAGGAGGAAGAGGAGCAGATCTCCACAATGACCCTGCCGCCTCTCGACGAATCAGAGTAAGTACTAAGCAGTAGAACCACAATCGTAGTTATGCCTAACCACAATGACTTTTTGCATAACATTTTGTAGGTAGTTTAGAAAAAGAATCTAGAATTCTTATTGACATCGCCATCTTTGTTTTCGGAATGTAAATTATTTCTATGCGCAAGATTTTAAGTTAACTCATTACTTATTAATTTGCATACCATAAAGGAATTCTTTTATGATACCAGTTATTTCCAAAATTTGAGTTGTATTACTTTGCGTCTTTGCGACCTATCATCCGTTTCGTTTCCTGCAAACTTACTTTTGCTTTTGATGTCGTTTGCATGGCATGTATCGAGATTCAAGAAACCGTTAAAGAATTTAAAGCTGTATGTATCTCGGCTGCACCAGATATTTTCGTAAATACCCTACAGGACTTCTCTTCAGACCAAAAGTAAAAAATGCAGCTCTTAGGATAGGAAACCACTAAGGATTTATCGTTTCAATAGCGATTTCTATATGAGAGTACCGAGATTGTTTCATTTCATTGATTCATTTTTACAAATGCGGTATACACGATTTCGATACAAATATCTATTCTACATTATTGTTGTAAGCCCAGCTATAATATTTTGAAAATATTTATTAAAGACAATTGGACCCTACGTACAAAATAATTACATAAGCTTGCCGCTATTGATATTGACAACACGTGTCGCAATTCGCGAATGAATTCTGCTTGTAATAGTAAGAATACCTGAAAAGGTAACTTGTTGTAAGGTTGTTGCTATCAACTTAAAAAGCCACAAAAACGCGGAGGTTGAGTATGAAAAGACTTGTTTCTCACAGACAGACGCGGACTGCGGCCGCGGTCGGGGTGGCTGTCAGTTATATTGGCTTGCAATGTAAGCAAGTGTTCAAACATGAGCAAACAATAAAACTAACTGTGGCTTCAATACCCAACGTGTACGAAGAAATTTGGTGACTCATTTCTTTGTCGCACTATCCGTAAATGGAATGCTCTGCCCGCTCACGTGTTCCCTCCTCCTTACATCCTGGGATCCTTTAAAAGAGGCGTGAAGAAGCAACATGCAGGCCGGCAGGGTGAGGATGGCTGGTGTGGCAGGTAGAACTGCTGTATCAGCTATCTTCACGTCTGGACTTCACCTTCACTTAACATCAGGTGGGGCGGAGTCATTTGTCAGACCTATCTATAAAAAAGGGGCATGTCGCGGTCGCAGGCCGCCTCCGTCGTGAAACCTTCTGAATGTGAATGAAGCAAAAGCTGTCTTTTCTTTCTGCCTACCCTATCCGGGACTCGTGTCGATCGTGACGATATGATAGATAGATAGTGATTAAAGCTTTATCTTAAAAGCGATATATAGAAGATAATTTTCCCAATTTCTAAGCTTTCATTTTCATTCGCAGCGTGGTGATGAGTGAGGAGTCGGAGGAGCAGGAGTTGGGGCGGCTGCAGCGCGGCCTACGGTTCGTGTCGCGGGTGGCACGAGCTTCGCTGCCCTTCCAGGTAACATGACACAAAATAACAGGGGCAATTGCACAGAATAACAGGGGTTACTTGACACAATAAATAACACCGCTTGACACAGAATAACACAGGGGTACTTGACACAGAATAATAAGGGGGTATTTAACACAAAATAACAGGGGGTACTTGACACATAATAACAGGGGATACTTGACACAGAATAACAGGGGCACTTAAAACCAAATAACAGGGGAGTACTCGACACAGAATAACAGGGGAGTACTTAACACAGAATAACAGGGGAGTACTTAACACAGAATAACACGGGGGTATCTGACACAACATAACAGGGGGTACTTGACACATAATAACAGGAGGTACTTGACACATAATAACAGGGGGTACTTGACACAGAATAACAGGGGGTACTTGACACAGAATAACAGGGGGTACTTGACACAAAATAGCAGGGGTACTTGACACAGAATAACACGGGAGTACTTGACACAAAATAAACACCAGAAACGGTCAACTAGTTTTGTTGACTAAGCCTTTCCAGGGGCCTCCTGGGAATCAGCGGGCTGGTTTAGAAGCGCCAGTTTGCATAGCACGGATCCTATGATGGGTGGTGCCTCTGATGCTCCGCGGAATCCTTAGGAACAAAGTTTCCCATGTTGCCATCAATCGATAAGATCGATTGATAGCAGACGATGCTCCCGTTACTGTTGGCCATACACAGAGAGATTACTTCGGCACTATATAACCGATTACAAATCCTTAAGCCCAAAGTATCGTTGACGAACGCTCCATATTTTCACACAACAATTTGTTCGCAGGCATTACTACTTCTACTACTGGGCGCGGCCGCGTTAGCACCGCACGCGCACTCCGGTTGCCGCGACGCTGGACCCGGACTCGAACCCGTACTACGATATCCTGATGGCCCACCACCACTATGATACTACAAGAAGAAATAAAACTACCCTCCACTGATTGACCCACTACTATGAAAAGATTAACAAGGAAATGACACCACACCTACGGACCATATACTTGAACAATGGGCTAAGCGCACTCCAGAGCTCGTGCTGCGATACCCTAATGGTCCTTTACCACTATTATCCTTCAAAGGAATTTAAAACTACCCTCCACTATTTGACCAACTGCATTTATGTGGATGGTAGAAGGAGCAGCTAATAAGTACCCCTATGGCTGCATCATCGCTCTTTCCCTTTCTAACGACTTGTCAATTTATTTATAGTTGACAATTTATCTGTGTCTATGATACTGAATGGCTCATGTATCAAGCTTATACTCTACTAAGTATGGAGAATAGGCCAATCCATATTCAGTCTAATTGTGGTTGATTTGTATCTTTGGAAAGAATACGCCGAATTCCGTTTTCATCAAACGCCTGTTTCCCCCACTTTGCGTTGTACCAAATCAGATTGTGTGTTTATTATCGGCCAAAAATTAGTATTGCAGTCCTGAGACGGAATTATTTCCAATACTCTTCTTTTCGTAAGATATGAATCGCCAATTTTATTTATGGTATAATAAATCGTATTATTATTACCATAAATGGAACTATGGAACTGTTTTAAGTTTATTAGGATTTATGATATTCACCGTTTTCCCTCTAGATGACCATCATAATTACTAGTAAATTAAAATGTAGTTGGAAACAATCGTCGCAACCTAACCCTCTGGGCTGTCGCGATTATTCCGAGAGAAACAAGGATAATATTCCAAATGTTTAAAAAAAACGAGGAAATGGCCTAACTAGGCTGCAGGATACGCGACTCAAAGGCGCGGTCCGAAAAAAAAAGAAAAAAGAAAATGGCCGCTCGCCACCGCCTTTCGCGCCAAACGCGGTGTCCGAGCGCGCGGGAACATTCCAGGTGCTAGTAGCGTCGCGATCGTCACCGAGTGCACACGCCTTCTCCACTTTTGTATATTTGTTACGTTAATTAAATTGAAAAACAAGAAAAAGACAGTCGCATCCGGCGGCGGCCGCGACGATTTCATTCGCGCCGAAACCACACGATAGTTATCGAGATATTATATTTTATTTATTTCTATTAATTTATATATTGTATTTAAAAATGAAAAAGGTGTATTTTAAAAGGCGCCGCACGATCGTAAGACGGCTTTCGAATCGCATTCACGCATTGTTACTTAACTATTAGATAGTAAGGACTGTTTATAATGAAGTCAAATAAAGCCTTTGCATTGATTGAAAGTTGAAGTTTTATTTACAAACCTAGACATTAAATACCTACACTATATAATATATTTACAATAATATTACATTTTATGGTGTAAACTTAAAATAAATGCGTTACTCGCAAGTAGGGTTACCATTTAGGAATTCCAAAAGTCCTGACATTGACTGACTGAAAAAAGCCCGGACTTTTTAGTCACAAAATGGTAACATTACTCAGTTACAATGGTATGGTATTTAAATCAATATGTACTTTTATTATTCAAGTAATTTGAAACTATGACGGACTATAGTCTAAAAGTCTGGACATGTCCGGACTAATTCGGACGGATGGTAACCCTACTCGCAAGTTTAACATTTGAAAAGATTGCTTAAGAATGTGATATCAATTGCTGATTGAGATCTTGCCTGTGTGAATTGTGCTCGCGGATCGTACAGACGTTGTAGCGGTTGCTGCAACCACTGACGCTCGGATTCTCCTGCGCAAAGAGCAAAATACTATGTACAGATATCATGTATACCTTGTAAAATGGTTAACCCTTACTGGTTGATTGGTAGAGAATTCCTATGAGATTAAGTCTGCCGTTTACTCTATTTTGGTATAAATATTTAAGTAAAATAACTCTTCTGGTTGTGTTTCTGTTGGTGCGGGTTAGGTTAGGTTAAACGCGTACGATGTGGTTGCTTCCCAATAAGGATCCCACATCGTCACATCCGGCGGTGCCGGCACACCCCAGGGTTTTAGTTTTAGTAGTTAGGTATGCCAGTGTGGAGAGTCCCACATAACCCTGTTGCCCACCCAGTAGCAGGGTATGCGCAAAGCATTTCCTTGGGCAAAAAAAAAAGGGTAAGTTAAACGCGATAAAACAATCGTTTATCGTCATGCAGCTCCTCGCTTCATCCTCAACTAACCAACCAAAAATGTATTATTTCAAGATCTTCCGAGCTTCGAAAGACACGTCAAGCCGTTGGTCCTGGCTGCTTCTGGAGTCGATAGCACCCAATAATCTGGGCTCCCTATTTCATCCATAGATCAAACTTGTACTCCTACAGTGAAAGCATTAATAGGCTGATGACTAGAACTAGAAATAACATGGAGTATGAACTCAACGTTAAAGAGTGGTTCCATGCAAACTGCGATCAAGTGGGCGGGGCAAAAAAGGTATGTCGCCGTGGATGGTGACGACATATTTTCATTTCGTTCCGTGTCTTACCGATACTACTCTTGGTAATAACAAATATTTTTTGTTTTTTGAACTGTTGTGTCTGTTTTGACAATTTACTGAATAAAAATGTTTTCTACGTTGTATTTAAATAAATTATGACTATGAAATTGTAAAGAATTAAACTACATAAATAAAATGTTGCTGTACAAAAAAAACTATTCAAAATGGTTTTGTATTAAAATTAATATTGCTATCTAAATTTCATCACATTTAATTGCTCGTGTGTATTGCATGTCGTAATCGCCTATAATTAAAGTTCCTTTAAAAAAGTGTCTTACTATAAATAATTAAATAAGAGTTGTAAAAATATAACTTTGATAACGATCAAGTAAGTAAATAAATAAAATTTTTGCCAACCTCTGCATTGGTCAATGGCCTTTCATCGAATTTGTTTGAAATGAAATGAAATTTATTTATGGACACAAAACAGAGTAGATACATTTTGGTGGTGATTTTCATTTAGTTCGTCCATTTTACCAACAACAAGGCATGTGAATGTCAAACAATTTTAATTTTAAAATTTAAAGGTAGGTACTTATGTCATTTTACTTATTCTATTCTAAGCCAATTTTCGTTTCTAAATATTCTCTGAGTAAAAACATTTCGTTATTAGCCACATTTTAAGCTTCCTTTTAAATATTTCTAACTAAGCTCCGTTATCAAGCGTGGTAACTTATTATAGATTTTTATACAATTCGGATAGCAGTTTTCATTGTAATATTGAGTACGCATATTGGGCTACATCAATCTACCACGATGTCTCGCTAATCTGCAGGTATCTGTGTTACATTTTCGCTTCTCGTCAGTGGCGGCGCTAGACCACATGTGGACGTCGGCGACATCAAGTTCGCGAGGCCTATTTTACTTCGCAGTAAAAAACCGTTAAATTAAGTGAGCCAAATTATGAAATACCGTATGAGTAAACGAGTTTTATTGTTGATAATCAAATGATGACAAAAAATAATTACAAACATAGAAAATGAAAAAAAATAGTGTTGCCAGACAGACGATTCTGAATACCCGTAAAGTACTACTCGCTTCCATCACGCACGTGTTCGAAAATAATAAAAGTCATTATCATCTGCTTAGCTTTTTCCCCGAATTGTTCGGAGTCGGCTACTTAAGTCAGGCCAGGAGAAACCGCCACTGCTTCTCGTTGATCGCTGATGATAACGTATGAGACTTACTTGCGGCACATATTGTTTCCCTGTTTGTATGAGCCACCCTTGGCCGGGTCCGGCGCAGTCCCCGCGCAGCACGGCGCTGCGGGCGCTCGTGCGTAACAACTGCGTCAATACCGTGATCACCACCTTCACAGATCATAATATACACAGTTATAAATATATCATCATCAACTAACTAACTAACAACAACATCAGCGTCTGAAATTACCATGTAAATGTGTCATTTTTTGGAAGATATTGGCTCCCAATACACAGGTTAATCCTATATTTTTAGGAGCCAGGATCCCTTATGATTTGTATTCTGGTATTTATCCAATACAGATTTTATTATTATTATTATTTATTATTATCAACCTATTAATGTCCCCGCTGTTGGGGCACAGGCCTTCCCTATGGATGGAATAGGGAGATTGGGCTATGACCAACCACGCAGGCCCAGTGCGGATTGGTGGGTGCTAACGACTGCAGATGCAGCCGGTACCAATGGCTTAACGTGCCTTCCGAATCACGGAGGAGCTCGAGATAGTAAATTTTTTTTGGTCACCCATCCAATGACCGACCACTGCGAAAGTTGCTTAACTTCAACGATCGTAGCCGAACGCGCTAACCACTTGCGCCATCGAGCTCCTAATATACACAGTTCTAAATATATCATCTTCATCATCATCAACTACACTAACAACAATATCAGCGTCTGAAATTACCATGTGAATATGTCATTTTTTGGAAGATATTGGCTCCCAATACACAGGTTAATCCTATATTTTTAGGAGCCAGAGTCCCTTGTGATTTGTATTCTGGTATTTATCCAATAAAGATTTTATTATTATTTATTATTATCAGTCTATTAATGTCCCCAATGCTGGGACACAGGACTTCCCTATGGATGGAATAGGAAGATTGGACCGTGACCCACCACGCGGGCCCAGTGCGGGTTGGTGGGTGCTGATGACTGCAGATGCAGCTGGGACCAACGCCTTAACGTGCCTTCCGAAGCAGGGAGGTATTGTAACGAACCAATTGTAACAAACGAAGCAAAAATACTCACGTCTGAGAAAACTGGTTGACTGGCAGAGAATGCTTTTAGCGTTAAGTACGCCTTTTGTCCATTTTGTAATTGTGGCAATAAAGTTTAAAAAAAAAGTATGGAAATGATAAGAATTATCAGACTATCTTCATTTTATAAAAAAAACGATAATCGCGACTTTATAAAAAAAATTGCAAATAGCATTGCTGTTCTTGCACGATTACAAAGTAACTTGACAGTACTTTAGAATAAATTTTTACTCATATTATCAGGCCCCTCATTCCCAGTCGGCATTTTGTGCATGTGCCCAGGGCCCCGCGATCGATAGGGCCCCCCAGATCAAATACAAAGTCCCTAGTTCCTGTTAAATCACCAAGCGGGGGTCATATCCTAATATGCCCAGGGCCTCCAATAGGTCAAAGACGGCACTGCATATTATTAATTATGAAACACACTTTCTGTAGATATAGTTTTAAGAGTTGTAAGTTTTATACTTTTTGAAAAAATCGAATTAGAGTTCCAAGGTACTAGCGGTTGGTCTAGCAGTTTATTTGCAGTCGAGTGTAGATCCTTAGCTTGACAGTTCCCTTTCCCTTATTCATACATAATGGACAAGAAATCTGCAAAATTCGGAAACTAGGGGCGCTGTAATCGCTTGACCCAAAACTTCTATCAATTACAAACCTTATATTCATTTATAGCACAGTGTGACCTAAACCCGCACTTTACGCACGCTTTTCCGTGACCTAAGTTGCCTATTTCTGCACGGTGTGTAAATGAATTGACCAACTTCACTCATGTAGAATTAGTACGATACGCGTAACTTAACTTTACTATGCCAATCAAGGAATAAACGATCATGGATACATTGAAATTCTATTTTGTTGTAATGATATTTGATTTTTTCCTTTTGAAATATACTTTCAAAATGGTAATCTGAACCGGAATTCTTTCTTTTCAGAGTTTGACTTGCAGTCTGTATTGCAATTCTTTGTGATTGCAATACATGAATTTTACTTTCAAAACACTAATCGCACCCGAAACCCCCCCCCCCCCCCCCTCTTACCCGCGTCCGGGCCGGGTTTATGTCACACTTGCTATAAAATAGTATACGATACTTGTGGCCCAAGTTGTCTATTACTGCACGGCGTTTAGCACCGGGCGCTAACTGCACGCCGTGCAGTAATAGGCAACTTAGGTCACGCGTATCGTAATGTACTAATTTTAAGCTTTTTATTAAACAAATTACAGATACCGCTTTGAGCAGTTCCTGGTTTTTTTGCATGCTCACCGACTAAAATATAATTTTGTATGTTGCTTTGAAAGGGGGAGTAAAACTGAGTCTACACTATACATCATAGTATGTATCTGTGGCAGGTAATTGCATCTGGATATCTTCATTTTGATCCGAAAAAACTGCACTAAAATTAAAAATTGCGATCATATGCCTCAAGTCTGTAAAAAAACCCAATGATATACTTCCCATTTTAACCAGAGGTAACCTAACTCTATGAGATGTCTCTGACTGATGCAAAAATAAGATAGATTTGACTAATGAGCCCGGTTATAATTACTGAGATCCATGAACTTTTAAAATAATCATGTGCATTCTAGCATAATAATAGAAAAAGTACCTTTCTACAATATCAGCTTTTCTGCCTTGCACAGATGCTCCTCTTATTTTCAACTCTGTTTTCAGCTGTATTATAGACCATCTTGAATACATTTTACCACTTATTTAATATTTTTTACAACAAAAATACAATATCCAATGCATGCAATATTCAGCTGTGGTTTGGGTCAAGCGTTTGCAGCGCCATCTACGTTGAGCTTTGCGTATACTTCTCCATTACCTGTAATATGAGAACTAGCGCGTTGAAGAGATGCAGCGCTAACAGCGCTTTAGTTAGCGGTTGCCGCACGGCTTCCACGCAACCGCGCGCGTGCAGCGATGCCGGCAAAAGTGGAGACCCACTCCATAGCTCGCGGCATTCGCTCTGGTGGATAAATGAGTCCAATTTTGCTATAAATACATAAATATTTCCAACACACACTAATTAGCCTAGCCCTAAAGTAAGCACTGTAAGACTTGTGTTGTGGGATACTGGGTAACGAACAGAATACATATACTGTACATATATAAGCATATTTATATAGAAATACATATTATACATCCATGACTGGAGTACAAATGTTCGTATTCAGCACACAAACATCTGTCCCCACCGAAATTTAAACCCAGGACCTCTCGAGTCGGCGATAACATGAAACCCGGCGTAGAATCCACTCGGCCATGGAGGTCATCAAAGTAAAATAAATAGGGCTAATGACGGGATAAAGTATTTTTTTTTATAGATAGGTTCGACAAATAACTCCACCCCGCCTGATGTTAAGTGACGGTGAAGTCCGACGAGAAGATAGCTGATACAGCAGTTCTACCTGCCACACCAGCCATCCTCACCTTGCCGGCCTGCATGTTGCTTCTTCACGCCTCTTTTAAAGGATCCCAGGTTGTAAGAAGGAGGGAACACGTGAGCGGGCAGAGCATTCCATTTACGGATAGTGCGACGAAGAAATGAGTCACCAAATTTCTTTGTACGCGTTGGAATTGTGGTCGCAGTTAGACGGTGACAACGTAGGCCAGCGCACGTGGTCCTCTGAAGGAAAGGGGAAGGTGGGATAAGAGAGAATAACTCCTCAGAACACTCGCCGTGGTACAGATGATAGAACGCGCTTAGTGACGCCACGTCACGGCGTAATCGAAGAGGCTCGAGGTGTTTAGTCACCTCCTCATCGCCTATGATGCGGATTGCGCGCCGCTGTACCTATCCAAAGTATCGAGCAAGTACTTGGCGGAGCCATCCCAGAGGTGCGAGCAATATTCCACGCAAGACCACACCTGCGTCTTATAAAACAAGCACAGTTGCTCGGGCGTTAAAAAACGCTGCACCTTGTTCAGGACTCCGAGTTTGCGTGGGGCCGTTTTGACCACGCTTACGATCTAATTCATTGGTTTAGATTAAATAAATATATATTTCCAACACACACACCAATTAGCCTAGCCCCAAAGTAAGCACTATAAGGCTTGTGTTATGGGATACTAGGGTAACGGATAGAATACATATACAGTACATATATAAGTATATTTATATAGAAATACATATTAAACATCCATGACTGGAGTACAAATGCTCGTATTCATCACACAAACACCAGCCCCCACCGGGATTCGAACCCGGGATCTCTCGAGTCGGCGACACCATGAAACCCGGCGTACAAACCACTCGACCACGGAGGTCATCATTGGTTTAGATTGATTGACAAAAGAAAAAAATAAGTGTCCATCATTTGTTGATAATGTAACTGACGGACGGATAATGTAACTCCTCGATGGCGGAGGTGGCTAGCGCGTTCGGTTGAGATAGTTAAAGTTAAGCAACTTTCGCAGTGGTCGGTCATTGGATGGGTGACCAAAAATCTTCTATCTCGAGGACCTTCGTGCTTCGGAAGGCACGCTAAGCCGTTGGTCCCGGCTGCATCTGCATTCGTTAGCACCCGCCAATCCGCACTGGGCCCGCGTGGTGGGACATGGCCCATTCTCCCTATTCCATCCATAGGGAAGGCCTGTGCCCCAGCAGTGGGGACATTAATAGGCTGATGATGATACTAGTAAAACAGGACGTGAAATAACACAAAGCGATCGTGCGATATTTACTTCATATATGGCATTATCTACAGCATCGTTTTCACCTCTTTCTAGAGAATTGTCAATTTCATACTATGAACCACACAGCGTATTTTGCGCGACACATCTTGTACCGCGTTACACGCTGTCATCGTGTTAGATTGTGAAATCATTAGATTGATTCTTCTAGTCGAACAGGCGTTATGCCGCAATTACATTCGGTAATTAGCTCCACATAACACAGAAAGAGGTAAGAAGGGCTTTGTGAAAATCATTGGATTGATTCTTCTACTCGAACAGGCGTTATACCGCAATTACATTTGATAATAAGCCCCCCTTGTGGGCGGGGCAGGCGCGCCACAGTTATGTGTGAGCAAATGCTCATAACTTGACTAAAACTTGGTCTGATTCTGATTGCGTCGTTGCTCTCGGGTGTGAGCGCTGTTTAGCTAGATTATTTTGATGTCGCGTCATTTGATTGGCTATTATCTATGAGGTGGAACCTGGGGGCGAGCCGGCGACATCGGTTCCCATACAAACGGTCTATTTGAGTCCCCTTTTAACCTCTTTTTGTGTTCTGTGGTTAACTCGTTTTCGGGTGCACCAAAAGACACTACTCGAATTCGAGCACCCGAAGCAATATTTACACTGGGATACCGGCTTGAAGACGGTGTCGAGTAAACAGAAGGAAATCTACCCTAATACGGGCGTACTCGACTACGTTCATTAACACTTAGTCCTTTACCCGAATAGGGTATTTGACAGTATTAAAAATTAAGTGCCGATTGTTAGCATCTGCGTTTAGAATGAATATTGGCAGGGGTTTTTACTATTTTTACAACAAAAATATTCATAATTTTACTAAAAATCCACGAAAAAGATAATAGTCTTCTTATCTATTGTCACGTGACCCAAAACTCTTGGGATTGGCGGAGCCTAAAATGACGTCACACGCAAGTAAACTTCCGGTTGACATTACATTGTATCGTTTGACGTTTTAATAACAGTCATGTGACGTCACACACTAGTAGGACGCCATATTGCCCAGAAAAACGTTTTCGCGGCAACTTGAAAATGGAGTTATTGATTTGGTTATTTTTACTGAAATACGCCAGAATGATGAATATCCACTTTTTACGGACTCCATAAAAATTAGTCAATAACATGAGATTGTTTTCTAATACTTGTCAAATACCCTATTCCATTGGCACTCGTATTCGGGCTAGCGACCAAGTGTGATAGCGCCATTAGGGCCATTTCTGCAATTGAGCGTCCATTTGAATGCTAGTTTGGTTACCTGTTGTAAAGGGTCATGGTAGCATGCGGCGAGAACACGCGGCGTGCAGCACGAATAAGGCGACACTGGTGGGAGGACTTTACCATCCGCACTGGCCATTCTTAAACAACAGAATAAGCATAAAAAAATAAACAATTAAAATATTTCAAAAAACACAGAAAAGAGCAAAAATATGTAGTTCTAATTTGCACCACAAGATGGCGCCACGTGGAAATGCGAGCCATTGTCGACTTGGAAAAAGTTTACTTAATTTTAAAAAAATATACTGTTCTTTCGCCAATTTGTTAAAAATTAGAACTACATCACGTATTAAAGTGAGACAAAGGTATAAATAAAAATGCAAATATATTTTAAAAGCGCTTCCAAGGGGGTTCAACCGAAATTTTAAAAAAACGTAAAGAACACACGGCACCATGGAGCGCGTGGTAAAATGTTTTACCGCACGCGTTGTATAACTCGTAATTTCGAAAATTCGAATAATGTATACAACCTCCGTAAATGCATTTTTTGGGCAAATGTGATAAAAATATTATAATTTAGATATGTATGTTGTATTCTGACATCGATGCAAAAACACTGTAATTAAATTCCATTAAATAAAAAATCCTTTTTTTTCTGGAACCTCCAGCTGCAGAATATTTATGTAAATAATCTGTTCTATTTGATTTTGTATGTAAATAATCTGTATGCCTACTAACTTCATAACTAAGTCAGATTCCTCGTTGAGGAAGTCCATGTTGATCCAGGGTATCTCGTGCCAGTCACTCGGCTTCTCAACGCCACAGCAACTGAGCTCTATCTGAAAGAATCATCATCATCATCATGATCAGCCTATTAATGTCCTCACTGCTGGGGCATAGGCCTTCCCTATGGATGTATATAATAGGGAGATTGGGCCACCACGCGAGCCCAGTGCGCATTGGCGGGCTAACGTCTGCAGGGGGCCAATCGCCTAACGGAAATGCTTATGGAAACGCTAACGCTTACGATTTTATATTGTTATTTCTAGCCGCCTGAGGTTTTGGAATACCTCACGCTCATTTTTTTTAATATTGTTATTACCAATGCAAAAGAAAAAGAAAGAGCGCGAGGCATTTGAATACCTCAGGCGGCTAGAAATAACGAAATAAAATCGTAAGCGTTAGCGTTTTCCAAAGCCTTTCCGTTAGGCGATTGGCCCCCAGATGCAGCCGGGGCCAACGGATTAACGTGCCTTCCGAAGCACGGAGAGGGCAGACATCTCCGCTGGCAGCACACGTTCACGAGCATGACGCATGAACCAACCATCGCTTCGCTCAACCATATTTTAGGGAATGTAACGACCCGCCTCACACGACATCTTTTTATTTTTATTCCTCCCAGATAATTTAGGTTCGTCAACTTCGAATTTTATACGCCTACTAGCTGACCCAGAGAACTTCGTACCGCCATAAAAATAGGGGCAGGTGGTAGAAGAGAATATTTAGGGTTGTATGTATTTTTTAATACCACATTATAAAAAAATATATAATGTTCAAAAAAATTAAGAGGTGTGTAACGTAGTGTTCTATCAATTTCCTGGGATAACATTCCTCCTAACCCATATGAGAATACTACGTTACAATACCCAATAGTTTGAATTTTGGCGCGAAGGCGCATTGTAGGTTTCAGAACACTATGTTACAGGTGGACAACCATTATCACTTAAGGATATGAAAAATAGATAGTACCCGATTCTCAGACCCACGGAATATGCATATAAAAATTCAAATCGGTCACGCCGTTTCGGAGGAGTAAGGTAACTAACAATGGTGTCGATTCTGGCGTGATTCTCTAAACTTAAAACTAAATTTAACATCAATCTCTCCTTTTCATTCCGTATAGAGAATGACAAGGATACACTGTCGTCAAATTTAAGTTTAGGTTTAGAGAATCGTGTCAGAATTGACACCATTGTGACACGAGAACTTTATATATATAAGATAAAACCAATTAAAAATCACATTATAAAGAAGCTAAAACTGTAGCTATTCCCAAACTTTGAACGCATTATAATTCTACTAAATTGAAGAGTAATGATAATGCAAATAATTTGCGTTGAAATGTGAAATTTTGTAATCAGTCTGATTACACCAGCCATTTTTACTCTTAGTGTCGCCGTGCAAGGGCCACACGCCACAGGCACAAACGCCGCCACAAGAAGCTAGAAGCGGCTACTAAAGTGGCTGAAGCGCGTGACAGCGGCCGACTGAGGTAAGGGAGAGAGGGGTGGGGAATCGCGCGAGTGACGTCGATTTGACGACAGCCACCGGCGTAACGTGTGTGGCGAGTCCATATAAAATGTATAAAAACTACAAGAAATATGCCGGTGGCGGCGTTTTGTGATTGTGGTCGGTGGCCCGTGTGCGGCGACACTTAATAAAAAAGCTTAAGAAACATCGGTCTATTTGTTTACCTCTTGTCTCAGAAGAAGTTGAATAGATATGGTAGGTATTCAGTTGGAGTGTCTCTACAGACTCCAAAGCTCCAAAGCAAGGAGGAAAAAAGTTCAGACAGGACGGATGGCCTTGCGAGGAATATGTTATTGCCGCATGATTTCGACATTGGAAAGCGAAATCGCTTAAACGCCACTTTAGTGACTTTACAGAAACGAAGATCAAGTTCATTAATTGTAAATGAGAAGTAGCGCCATAGAAAATAAAACATATTCATAAAATAGATTTATAGATTTTTTTTTTATTATTATTTTTGATAGATTTTTTTCGTCATTCTGACGAAGCAGACCTGAAAAGGCTGCGAAACGTCAATAAATAAATAAAGTTTCGTGCATTAACCCGTTAAAATCTAGTTTTATTTAATGAGTGATGTGCGTGAAAACCTAAGAAACAAATATTTCCTATTCTTATTAAAAAGTTACATACAGGTAGTATGTTTAATAGAAGTTACATACTGCCTTTACGAATTAGATATCGCTTACACAAAAATCACTCGGCCCGCCATACATTTTCTCTCAAGCAAGCATGAAATCATACGCGCCAAATAGTAGGGTAAGCGCCATTGGTTCCAAAAACACCAAAATTTATGTCGCTTCAGCATTGTAAATAATAAAAATCTTCGAAAAATTAAGTTGGTTAAGCGCCAAAAAAGTAGTCAAACCTTCACTAAACATAAACAGATCAACTCAGAAAAAAATCTGATTAAAATGAATTTCATTTGGAATCTATACTTACGCTTAACATCAGATGGCGTGGTGACATCGGCTAAAACTTACACACAGGATAAAGTTAATTATTTGTCCAAGCATTCTCGAAACTTAATTAAGGATATCAAACCTGCATCGTGTCCATTAAGCGTTTCCAGGTAGGCTCTGTGAGGTACTGCGATATACCGATTCTAAGAGACGACGACAGCTCATTCATCAAAGCCTGAAACGTAAATTGAATATTATTCGACAGTGGGAAAGCGTAATCGATTAAATGCCACTTTGGTGCTGCTTAAAAATTAACATTGAATAAAAACTGCAATTATGTATTTTTTTAAGCATGATTCACACTACACCGTGACGCGACCGAATATTATTCGACAGTGGGAAAGCGTAATCGATTAAATGCCACTTTGGTGCTGCTTAAAAATTAACATTGAATAAAAACTGCAATTATGTATTTTTTTAAGCATGATTCACACTACACCGTGACGCGACCGAGCCGTGCCCCGTCCGGGGCGCATATATATATATGCTAGTTCAGTACGTCCCCGTCGGCTGAGCCGAACTGAGTTAGCATTTCCAAACGATAAACACGCGTAATTCCTGCTCCAATACGTCCCAGACGGCGATGTACTGCAGTAGGATTTCTAAGTTAATACGCATTAAAATGTATTGGGAACCCTCATCTTATTCGTCAAGCTTACGTGACGTATTGGGGTAGGATTTTCACAGTTTCACATGAGCGGCACGTACGAGTGCGTCCAAAATATTAATGAACGGAAAAAAAATGATAATAATAATAACCTACGTCTGCCACGTCTCTTGTGAAAATTGCATATTTACTTATTATGCGTCACGTCTATCAAACGAAAAAAAAACACATATCGCACACACGGCCGTGCAAAGAATACACGCAAACAGCCCGGTGTAGCATGAATGACTGGCCCCGCCCGGCAGGCGCACGGTGGACTGGACGTGCTACCGGGTGGAGCCCGGCCCGGTCGCGGCACGGTGTACCGTGAATTATCCTTTAAGCAACACCAAAGTGGCGTATAATCGTTTTTGCTTTTCCATTATTGATAATGTATATCTATCTATATATATAAAACTCAAAGGTGACTGACTGACATAGTGATCTATCAACGCACAGCCCAAACCACTGGACGGATCGGGCTGAAATTTGGCATACAGGTAGATGTTATGACGTAGGCATCCGCTAAGAAAGGATTTCGATCAATTCTACCTCCAAAGTGATAAAATAGGGAATGAAAGTTTGTATGAAACTTTGTCAATTTTAAACCGATCGGGCTGAGACTTTGCATGCAGGTATAAGAAGAATCATAGATGAATGTCAATGTATATAATACAAGCCTGAGAACAAAAACTGTAGTCTACACTTCAGCTCTACACCGAAGCGAAGCGAGGGCGGGCCGCTAGATGTTTATAAAACGTTGAATATCACTCTGAATTCAAGCGGTAGGGCATAACAAGAGAGACAGGGCAAGGCGGATTTTCCGCACCACCTTATAGAAGATTACAGTAAAATAACACTGGATTTTGGTGGTGTTGTGTTTCTGTCGATCTTAACTTAGCACGAAAGAACACGAGATAGTAAATTTTTGGTCACCCATCCAATGACCGACCACAGCGAATGTTGCTTAACTTCAATGATTGCAGCCGAAGCGCTAACCATCTGCTCCATCGAGCTCCTCATTATTATTGTACATGTTCATCACATTCACAAACTAATGTTACCTTCAAAGTGCCTCTACAAGCTGCATAGACGAGCATGCCGTTGGCAGCAACTACAGTGCCGTTGACAAGCCACATCCTGCTGGCCAGGTTTGCCCTGGCCCAGTACGGACACTGCAGCAACAAAGTGATGAGTCGAAGACCGCCCGTGTAGTGCAACTTCATGCAGTACGCTTGCAGCAAAATCAGCCCACACAACAGAAACACCGTCACCTGTTGATCAAATAAAGACCGCATAATTTTCGTACATAAAAGAGATGAGAGAAGCCATCTTTACTAAAGGGCTGTAAGGGAATCATTACACATGGGGCGCATATTACATCACATGCTCGGGAGAGGGCACTAAATGAAACGCAGCATTGTGTGTATGGGGGGAGAGAGGAGTCATAAGTTTCATGATATCTCATTCTAAAAATATATTCCAACGCCCGTACCCAGAAGAGGGATTTCAATTTAATGCTTTCAAAGAGATGCGTTGTATTATTCGTGTGGTGTCTGAGTTCGGCCGCAATTTCTAATATTGTAAAATGTGACGTCACACTTTGGGGGTTGCGGAGAGGGACAGGACGTCATTTTTGAGGTCTGGTTCATAATATCGACAGTCACTGCATCGATTGTCGTTGTATTAAAAACGCTCCATCGGCGGGTTAATGAATCGATAGTAAACCAAATCGATAGTACCTATAATTAATGAAAGTATTTGATAGTCGATATCGCGTACTATCGATTTGGTGTACTGTCAATGTAAAGTATAATCGATTTGGGATACTGTCAATGTAGCATACTATCGATTTGGTACTCCAACTCTCCCACAGATGGGACAGTACTCTGTCGATTCATTAATCCGTCGATGGAGCGTTATTTATACCTACAGTAACAGTTGATGCAGTGACTGTCAAAATTATGACCCAGACCCAACTTAAGGATGGCCAGCTATAATTTCAAGTCCTTAGTCTCAAGTATTTAGAGCTTACATGTTTGGCAAGTGTCACTATGGAGGGAACACGTAAGATACTCTCAAGGATTGCCACTTATCTTGTGGATGTGTTTGAGCAGCGCGAGAACCTTCAGCAAGATGTTGTAGCAAAAGATGACCATGCACAGGGAGACGACCAGCTGCGCGATCAGTAACCCCCGCAGCACGCCGACTAGCTGCTGCCTTCCATCCTTACTGAACTTGAACACGCCCCAAGCCATATACCTTTATCATGAAAGGGCATACTAACTGCCTTCCTGCACAAATGTCTTCAGAGCTGTCCTAATTGGCAAGTGGAGGGAACACGTAAGATACTCTCAAGGATTGCCACTTACCTTGTGAATGTGTTTGAGCAGTAGGAGGACCTTCAGCGAGGTGTTGTAGCAAAAGATGACCATACACAGGGAGATGACCAGCTGCGCTATCAGCAACCCCCTCAGCACGCCGGCCAGCTGCTGCCTGCCTTACTGAACGTGAACAAGCCCCAAGCCATGTAGCTTCATCATGCGAGGGCATACTAACTGCCTTCCTGCATAAACCTCTTCAGAGCTGACATGATTTGCAAGTGGAGGGAACACGTAAGATACTCTAAGGATTGCCACTTACCTTGTAAATGTGTTTGAGCAGTAGGAGGACCTTCAGCGAGGTGTTGTAGCAGAAGATGACCATGCACAGGGAGACGACCAGCTGCGCTATCAGTAGCCCCCGCAGCACACCGGCCAGCTGCTGCCTGCCATCCTTACTGAACGTGAACACACCCCAAGCCATGTAGCTTCATCATGCGAGGGCATACTAACTGCCTTCCTGCATAAACCTCTTCAGAGCTGACATGATTTGCAAGTGGAGGGAACACGTAAGATACTCTAAGGATTGCCACTTACCTTGTGAATGTGTTTGAGCAGTAGGAGGACCTTCAGCGAGGTGTTGTAGCAGAAGATGACCATGCACAGGGAGACGACCAGCTGCGCGATCAGCAGCACCCTCAGCACGCCGGCCAGCTGCTGCCTGCCATCCTTACTGAACGTGAACACGCCCCAAGCCATATACCTTTATCATGAAAGGGCATACTAACTGCCTTCCTGCACCAATGTCTTTAGAGCTGTCCTAATTGGCAAGTGGAGGGAACACGTAAGATACTCTCAAGGATTGCCACTTACCTTGTGAATGTGTTTGAGCAGTAGGAGGACCTTCAGCGAGGTGTTGTAGCAAAAGATGACCATACACAGGGAGATGACCAGCTGCGCTATCAGCAACCCCCTCAGCACGCCGGCCAGCTGCTGCCTGCCTTACTGATCGTGAACACGCCCCAAGCCATGTAGCTTCATCATGCGAGGGCATACTAACTGCCTTCCTGCATAAACCTCTTCAGAGCTGGCAAGATTTACAAGTGGAGGGAACACGTAAGATACTCTAAGGATTGCCACTTACCTTGTGGATGTGTTTGAGCAGTAGGAGGACCTTCAGCGAGGTGTTGTAGCAGAAGATGACCATGCACAGGGAGACGACCAGCTGCGCTATCAGTAGCCCCCGCAGCACACCGGCCAGCTGCTGCCTGCCATCCTTACTGAACGTGAACACGCCCCAAGCCATATACCTTTATCATGAAAGGGCATACTAACTGCCTTCCTGCACAAACGTCTTCAGAGCTTTCCTAATTGGCAAGTGGAGGGAACACGTAAGATACTCTCAAGGATTGCCACTTACCTTGTGGATGTGTTTGAGCAGTAGGAGGACCTTCAGCGAGGTGTTGTAGCAAAAGATGACCATGCACAAGGAGACGACCAGCTGCGCGATCAGCAGCCCCCGCAGCACACCGGCCAGCTGCTGCCTGCCATCCTTACTGAACGTGAACACACCCCAAGCCATGTAGCTTCATCATGCGAGGGCATACTAACTGCCTTCCTGCATAAACCTCTTCAGAGCTGACATGATTTGCAAGTGGAGGGAACACGTAAGATACTCTAAGGATTGCCACTTACCTTGTGGATGTGTTTGAGCAGCAGGAGGACCTTCAGCGAGGTGTTGTAGCAGAAGATGACCATGCACGGGGAGATGACCAGCTGCGCTATCAGTAGCCCCCGCAGCACGCCAGCCAGCTGCTGCCTTCCATCCTTACTGAACGTGAACACGCCCCTAGCCTTATACCTTTATCATGAAAGGGCATACTAACTGCCTTCCTGCACAAACGTCTTCAGAGCTTTCCTAATTGGCAAGTGGAGGGAACACGTAAGATACTCTCAAGGAATGCCACTTACCTTGTGGATGTGTTTGAGCAGTAGGAGGACCTTCAGCGAGGTGTTGTAGCAGAAGATGACCATGCACAGGGAGACGACCAGCTGCGCGATCAGCAGCCCCCGCAGCACGCCGGCCAGTTGCTGCCTGCCATCCTTACTGAACGGGAACAAGCCCCAAGCCATGTAGCTTCATCATGCGAGGGCATACTAACTGCCTTCCTGCAAAAACCTCTTCAGAGCTGACATGATTTGCAAGTGGAGGGAACACGTAAGATACTCTCAAGGATTGCCACTTACCTTGTGGATGTGTTTGAGCAGTAGGAGGACCTTCAGCGAGGTGTTGTAGCAGAAGATGACCATGCACAGGGAGACGACCAGCTGCGCTATCAGTAGCCCCCGCAGCACACCGGCCAGCTGCTGCCTGCCTTACTGAACGTGAACACGTCCCAAGCCATGTAGCTTCATCATGCGATGGCATACTAACTGCCTTCCTGCATAAACCTCTTCAGAGCTGACATGATTTGCAAGTGGAGGGAACACGTAAGATACTCTCAAGGATTGCCACTTACCTTGTGGATGTGTTTGAGCAGTAGGAGGACCTTCAGCGAGGTGTTGTAGCAGAAGATGACCATGCACAGGGAGACGACCAGCTGCGCGATCAGCAGCCCCCGCAGCACGCCGGCCAGCTGCTGCCTGCCATCCTTACTGAACGTGAACACGCCCCAAGCCATGTAGCTTCATCATGCGATGGCATGCTAACTGCCTTCTTTCGTAAACCTCTTTAGAACTGATAGGATTGCAAGTGTTAAGCCGGAGGGAACATGTTGTTATGCACTATCTGTGTATTTTTTTCGCGTGCGATTTGGGTTAAGGTAATCTATATTGATCGTCTATTTTGTATTTTGCACAAATCTGCCAATATTACACTCTACAGAGAAAAGAAAATGTCAGTTCCGTCAATTTTGATCCATGTGACACACGGTATACTCTCTTTGAACAAATAATATTATAGTCTTTTAAATTCTCGAGAATTGCTCATAGACTCATGGATGTGTTAGTTGAAAGCAAACTGAACAAGTGCAAGTTGGAAGAGCAAACGAAGTGTTCCTGATATTGGATTTCTTGTTAAGGAGCTTCTTTTAATTAATTAATTATAATTCATAATTATAGTAATTTTATTTCAGTCTTTCCTTCTTGATATTATAACGACAATGAACACACACTTTTGAAAGGAGAAGGTTCAAAAGCAGTAGTCGGTTTCCGGCAGCGACGAAACATTTGAAAGCTTGTTTTATATTGTATCATGATCATTGGGCCAATCGCCTAACTGGATTGCTTTGGAAAACGCTATCGCTTACGATTTCATTTTGTTTTTTTTTTTTTCTTTTGCATTGGTAATAACAATATTAAAGAAAATGAGCGTGAGGTATTTGAAAACCTTCGGCGGTTAGAAATAACAAAATGAAATCGTAAGCGATAGCGATTTCCAAAGCAATCTGGTTAGGCGATTGGCCCACTGAGAACGTCTCCTTTAACTGTGTACCTGTTACAATTTTTGACATACTACACCTCGCATCCTACTCATGGACAGACGGATGGATGGAAAGACGTTAATACCTACTAGTCCTACCTGGTTCGTTGGAACCCTAAAAACCATAGACCATACACAATAGAGACAGGTTGCCAGCTTTTTGTTTAAAACATTTTCCGATGTTACCCTGTGTGTGGGTCGACTACCTTTATTTTAGTTACCGTAACCGTGCGATACTGCATCGATCAAACCTTACACTGAAAGTTAGTTCAGAAAAAGGTACTACATGATGCCAGCTGCTGCCTGCCATCCTTACTGAACGTGAACACGCCCCAAGCCATGTAGCTTCATCATGCGATGGCATGCTAACTGCCTTCTTTCGTAAACCTCTTTAGAACTGATAGGATTGCAAGTGTTAAGCCGGAGGGAACATGTTGTTATGCACTATCTGTGTATTTTTTTCGCGTGCGATTTGGGTTAAGGTAATCTATATTGATCGTCTATTTTGTATTTTGCACAAATCTGCCAATATTACACTCTACAGAGAAAAGAAAATGTCAGTTCCGTCAATTTTGATCCATGTGACACACGGTATACTCTCTTTGAACAAATAATATTATAGTCTTTTAAATTCTCGAGAATTGCTCATAGACTCATGGATGTGTTAGTTGAAAGCAAACTGAACAAGTGCAAGTTGGAAGAGCAAACGAAGTGTTCCTGATATTGGATTTCTTGTTAAGGAGCTTCTTTTAATTAATTAATTATAATTCATAATTATAGTAATTTTATTTCAGTCTTTCCTTCTTGATATTATAACGACAATGAACACACACTTTTGAAAGGAGAAGGTTCAAAAGCAGTAGTCGGTTTCCGGCAGCGACGAAACATTTGAAAGCTTGTTTTATATTGTATCATGATCATTGGGCCAATCGCCTAACTGGATTGCTTTGGAAAACGCTATCGCTTACGATTTCATTTTGTTTTTTTTTTTTTCTTTTGCATTGGTAATAACAATATTAAAGAAAATGAGCGTGAGGTATTTGAAAACCTTCGGCGGTTAGAAATAACAAAATGAAATCGTAAGCGATAGCGATTTCCAAAGCAATCTGGTTAGGCGATTGGCCCACTGAGAACGTCTCCTTTAACTGTGTACCTGTTACAATTTTTGACATACTACACCTCGCATCCTACTCATGGACAGACGGATGGATGGAAAGACGTTAATACCTACTAGTCCTACCTGGTTCGTTGGAACCCTAAAAACCATAGACCATACACAATAGAGACAGGTTGCCAGCTTTTTGTTTAAAACATTTTCCGATGTTACCCTGTGTGTGGGTCGACTACCTTTATTTTAGTTACCGTAACCGTGCGATACTGCATCGATCAAACCTTACACTGAAAGTTAGTTCAGAAAAAGGTACTACATACATTTTTATTTCACGATTTGGCAAAATGAGTATTAATAAGTCAAAAATAGTGATATTCTGTAGCTAAATTAAGTAAACTTATTCAGTTTACATAATGTCGTTACCCAGTGCAACTACA